TGCCCGGGCCTCTGGCGCCGCCGCCGGCCTCGGCCCTGGCCACCGTCAAAGCTAGCATCATCAGCGAACTCAGTTCCAAGCTCCAGCAGTTCGGGGGCTCCTCGGTCGCCGGGGGCGCTCTGCCGTGGGCCCGGGGAGGTGGCAGCGGCGGCGGCAGCGGGGACAGCCACCACGGGGGAGCCGGCTACGTCCCCGAGCGGACCTCCTCCCTCCAGCGGCAGAGGTAAGGGGGGGGGGAGCACGAGGCTGGCAGAGGAGGTTGAGCGGGGTCAGAGCCCACCCTGGGGTGACTGGCAGGAATAAGGCTGCGACTTTGCCACCTCCCAGTGGCGTCCCGAGTCTGTTAGGATCCCTTGCACCCCGCAGTGAGAACAACACCGGCTCCTGTCTGCGCCTTGAGGGGCAGGCCCCTGAAATCTGGGGGGCTTTTGGTTCCAAGGTCACAGCTAACAAGAGTGACCGAGGTCTGGGCCAAGGACTCCACCTCTCTGTAGAGAAGAGATCTGGCAGTCCCTACCTGAAGGTTTGGGAAGAGCCGGGCATGGTGGTACACACCTATAATCCCAGCTACAGGGGAGATGGTGGTAGAAAGCTGGAAGTCTGAAGCTTGCTAGGCAAAAGCACCAGACCCTTTCTGAAATACAAATTGGAAGCAAAAGCGCTGGAGGGAGGGGGAGACACAGTGGTAGAGGCCCAGGGTTCCATTGTCAGTACCACCAAATGAACAAAAACTAGGGAGAGTGGGGAAGGACAGGCGGCTGGGGGGGGGGGGGGCTGCTCCCAAAGCAGCTGCTTAGCTGAGATTGCCACAGTCTGAGCCGACTGGAGTCACATTCCAATTCAGCATCAGAGAAAGAGAGGTCCCTGGATTTCTGCTTGTCCATGGATTATTTGGGGCTCACATTCCACCAGGGGGGGGGTTCTTGGGCCTTGGAGACCTAAAGCACTCATTCTCGAGTGTTCTCAAGGAAGGAGAGGGTTGCTTACGTAGTCTATCAGGGCCTGTGTGCTGGACTTTTCATCTACATAGAAGACCACACTGAGCAAGAGCGAAGCTCAGGCCCAAGTGAGGATGGAGGCTGGACAAGAAGGAAAATAATCCTTGCAGCCATCCTTGGGGAGAAAGATGAAGAGGCAGCTTGGGGTGCTTGGAAAAGGGCTCTCAATTGACAGCTGAGAGGAGGGAAGGGAGTGGGGCCCCCCAAGTGTGCAGAGGGGGAAAGCCAGTTCAAAGGCCCAGAGGCAGGGTTGTGTTGGAGGAGGTAAAGGGATGAGGGGAACATTTTTCTCCCCTTGTTTCTTCTCTCTTTCATCTCCCTCTCTTCATCTTTCTCTCTGTCCCCCATTCCCTTCCATCTCTCTCCCATGAATGCTCACCATCTTTTTTTTTCTCTCTCTCTCTCTTTCTCCCTCTCACTTTCTCTCTCGTCTTCCTGTCTTCCACTCTGCTATGACTGGCCATAACCCAAAAGGCAGTATAGAGTAGTGGTTAAGAGCTCAGACTTCGGTGCCCTATAACTGCGCTCTGCCACTTCCTGGCTGTGTGTCCTTAGGCAAGTTACCTAACCCTGTCTGGGCCGCAGTTGTCCCGGGCGGCAGAGCTGTCCTGGGGCTTAAATTGAGACGTGATACCTAAAGTTCTTAGCACCAAGCCTGGCACACGTGAGCAGCAGTAAGTGGTGGCGATAACTATTATTATCATTTAATGTCTCTTTTTCTTTTCATCTCTCTTGGCTGTCGCCCTCTCCCTGTCCTCTCCTCTTTCTCTCCCTTCACTCTGTCCTGGCATTCATCTTACCCGGCCCTCCCTGCATCTCTCTCTCTCCATCTCTCTCCCCGCCCCCCTCCTGCCTCTCGGCCCTCCCCACCCTGCCCCTCCCCCTTCCCCCTTGTCACTTTTCAGACTCTCCGACGACCCCCAGTCCTCCTCGCTCCTCTCCAAGCCCGTCAGCAGCCTGTTTCAGAACTGGCCCAAAACCCCCCTGCCGCCGCTCCCCACGGGCGCCGGGGTCCCCCCCGCGGGCTCCGGGGCTGCCGGAGCCACCTCCCCGACGGCCTCGGCGGCCTCTTCATCCTCCCGCCACCTCCAGGGTGTGGACTTCGAGATGCGGCCGCCCCTGCTGCGCCGGGCCCCGAGCCCCTCGCTGCTGCCCGCCTCGGACCACAAGGTCAGCCCCGCGCCCCGGCCCTCGTCCCTGCCCATCCTGCCGTCTGGACCCCTCTACCCGGGCCTCTTCGACATCCGCGGCTCGCCCACCGGAGGCGCCGGAGGCTCCAGCGACCCCTTCGCCCCTGTCTTCGTGCCACCGCACCCCGGGATCTCCGGGGGGCTCGGAGGGGCCCTGGCCGGGGCCTCGCGCTCCCTCTCGCCCACTCGCCTGCTCTCGCTACCCCCGGACAAGCCGTTCGGCGCCAAACCTCTGGGGTTCTGGACCAAGTTCGACGTGGCCGACTGGTTGGAGTGGCTGGGCCTGGCCGAGCACCGGGCCCGGTTCCTGGACCACGAGATCGACGGCTCGCACCTGCCCGCCCTGACCAAGGAGGACTACGTGGATCTGGGCGTGACCAGGGTGGGCCACCGCATGAACATCGACCGCGCGCTCAAGTTCTTCCTGGAGAGGTGATGGACGGCCTGTGGGCCCGCCCGGCCTCAAGATCCCACGACCCCTCCAGGGCGGGGACCCTGTGGAAACTGCGCCCTGCCCTGTCCCCCGAGACCCCCTGAGGTCACGGGGGACGACCCGGAGGCCGGACACTGCACCTCACAGGAGGGAGCAGCTGACACCAGACTGCGTGTGTGACACGGGAAGGGGGGAATGTGGTAGTGGACGATGTGACGTGGTGGGGGGACTGGAGGGAAGAGTTGATGGGGGAGGGGACAGACAGAGCCATAGAGGGTCAGCCTCAAGCCTGACCGGATGGGGGCCATCCCCCAGGCCGCAGGAGAAGGGGTGCCCTCATATTCCACCACCTGCCGCCCCTCTCACAGCCTTCCTACCCACCGTCTCCAGCCCCTCGGCTCTCCCTGCCTCCCCTCTCCCCAGCACACACGGCTGC